TTTTGGCTCAGCTCGTGAAGGCTGTTTATATGTCTAAAATTGGTTGTTGGAAGTAGACTTGTATGTGTATAAAAGCTCGTTTAATAAAAAGGCCTCAGACTTCAATTCAAAAGCTCAGCCTTAGAGCCGTTCAGGCTGGCCTAGTATATTAATTTTTATTTTATTTTTTTATACTACTTGTAATAGCCTTCTCTCGCTCTTCAATTCATTTTACCCAATTTTATTGGTTAAACAGATTTTTTGAATGATTTCATTCTATATTATGTTGTTTGAATATACACTGAATTTAAGAATATTTATGAAATTACTAGTGCTGTTGAGTGAACATTTTGTTTAGATAAATTCTTGTTGTCTTATTTTTTTAAACATATTAACAGGCTAAATCAGTCTTTCATTTTTTGTAAATAAGCAAGGTCACCGGCCGATAATTATATCCATAACAGGTAACAAGTTTGATTAGATTGACATATTTAAACACAGACTTAATCTTTTAATATCAAAGTTCGGCTCAACTCGGTTCATTAACACCTCTTAGCTATAATCTCAAATAACTGTAGTGAGTGAATCCAATTATGTTTGTTTTTTAAATTTTAAGGAGCAGGGAGCACTTCTCCATAATTAATGAACATTTTTGTATGTTACTAGCATGAGCCTTGCATTAATGGCATTTTTTTGTCAATAATATAATGATATTGACTTCATGTACAGTGACCTGAAAGTATAAGCTAGTGAGAAACAAGTTGATTATGAAATTAAGCGAGAAACAACATTAATTCATTTGAAAGAAAGTAACAAGTGTTTTTTTTTTTGTAGTTATTAACAAGTGTTTTAAATCAATTAGTCCAATCAAACTAAGAAATATAACAATATCTTAATAAGAATTTTCCTCAAAATTTAGGCCATGTTTCGAAATAAATAATAAGAATAAAAAGAAAGGAGCAGAAAGAAAATTATTTCCCCTTCTTTCAAAATAAAATAAAATAAATAGTTTAGGAAAGAGTAAAAATAAATGATAAAATTCAATGCAGATTTGTGCATCCTGCAGCAATCAATGAGCGACCTTCGGCTGCAAATTAAGCGTTTGGCAGCAATGAAAGAGAGAGAACATAAATAGTTTACTTGCATACATGGGAAAAAGACACACAATAAATCTTATAAAATGATCGACTTGTATTTTTTTTTTATATCATCATAGAAAAAATCTTTAAAAGCAGAATTAATCCTTCATATATAAAAAAATAAAGAAAAACATATTAACCATCGTCACTCAATTAAGAAGTTAAAATAAAATCATAAGTCATCACTAAAAACGTAAATCGATTGTTTCAAAATTTGAATCCCTAATTATTTGGAAAAAAATATATCAATGGTTAATTTTCTTAATAGAAAATAATTGTTTTTGATAGTGACTTATGACCTTGTCGCCGGGGGTGATCTAATTAAGTGCAAATTAGGATCGGTTTTAATTAATACTTCAATCCTCTACGATTTAACAATCAAGACTATTGCCTTGAATTTACTTGGAAATTAACTTGCCTTTTTATCATTTTTTGTGAAACTATTCTTTTATCCCTAAATTATCACTATTTTTTGTTAATATTGCATTTTATACCAAGAAAAAAATTTCTTTCTATTTCATGCTTATTTTCTAACGTAAATTTTCTTTGAATTGTATCCTTAACATGACTCTTGACATTAGTATTCAAATAGTAATTTTGATAATGAATCAATTCAACTAAAAAATTTAAACTGTAAGGTGAAACTATATTCACACAAGAGTTCATCAAGTTTGAAGGGTGATTGATATATCGAGTCCAATCTAATTTTGGTAAGAAACTTCATAATATTTAATTATTTTTATTAATAGAATGAAGGCGGTGAAGATTGAATTTGTGATCACTTCATCGTAAAAAAATCAATTCAATCCAAAATTTTAATTATTGGATGAGACTACATTAATAGTTTTATATTTTTTTGAACAATTTTAAAATATTAGTTGACCATTAAATTCTGTCATGGATCACAATCTAAAAATCCACTCACAACTAAACTCATCTTATTAACTCGGAAAATTGAATGATCTTTTAACTTGAATTTTTCTTAGATCAAGTTGAATGATTTTGTTTTTTGAACAAAAAGGAATTGAATCGAGATTTTTTGTTCCTTTTCATTTGTGCTAAATGAAAGTCATAAGTGAAACCAACAAAAAGGTCCCTCAAAAAGAGAAAAATAACGACATTATATATTATATCAAATTTAAGATTCACAAAGCATTGTATGTCACGAAATAGAGTTTACAAGGCGTGAGAGATTACATCTTTTCAACATGATGCCAATAAGGTGCAGCATGCTATGACATCAACATCCTGGATGTTGCTTGATTTTACATCATTGTGAAGAGAAGAATATGCCAACCGTTGATGAATCAACTTAATTATATATATTGTTCTCTTAGTCTTATAAATCTCTTTATTTTAGCTTGCATATTTGTTAGCATCTTTTCATCGTACAGAAATGGTAAAGCATATCTTAACATCATTTCCTCACACAAGTTGTTTTTAGCGTAGCAAATTTAGAGATAATATTAACCTTTTTTCTTATATTACCAACTTCTTTTTAAGATGAAATTCCAAATAAAATTAAATAACTCCTCATTGTAAACTTGTTTAAGCATAATTAGGAAAAATAATCCAACAAAAAAGGTTTATTAAGGAGAATAGAATTCTCCAAATATAATATGCATTGATAAGACCCAGAAAAAATATTAGACTGGTCAAAAGGCAACTAACAACTAGGCAAGCTACAAAACTAGACAAAATTAGTATGCACAAAAAAATTTGTACTTTATGACTACTGTCTAAATCTTGTATGTCAAAACTGAAATATGAAGAAGTATACGATAAAAACTTCAGTGCAGCCGGGGTACCAATTGCATATTATTATTTTTCCAGTTCTGAAAAAAAAAAATTCCATTCTATTCATTTTTTTATTTCTATTTCCATGTAGATTCCAAAGAAAAAAAAAAATTCTTTTTGGGTAGACGTACCATACATTCGTAGCATGAAAGATTTTTTTTAGAAGTATACATGGTTGTTATTTAACTTTATTCAAGAAGCATATTATACATAAATTTTAAGATATTTTTTATAAAGTGTAAAATGATGTTTTAATGTACAATTTCAAAGTTTGATGGGTTACAAAACAATTTGAGTTAATGTTCCCTTTGGCACTGATTTGGGCGCCATTGATATATACTAGGATTAAGTATTCATATACACTTTTTAAATACAACATAATATCAAATTTTCTATTTAAAACATTTATTAAATATTAATTTCTCAATTTTACTATGCAAGATCAATATTTGATGATCATTCAAATTTAACAGTCAAACTAACAAAAAAGCATAATATTTCACTAGTCAGACGATACATCACCTAACATAATTTTAGTCCTTTTATAGTTTTTATTAAAAAAAATGGCAAAATTATTTATGCCTCTGTGGCAGAAATAATTTGTTTGCCATAAACACAAAATTAGTAGGATATGACGTCGGATCTATTAAGATTTTTTTTTAAACAAAAAATTAATATTAGGTCCCATTTTTTGTGTCTGGGACAAACTACTTTTCTGCCTGGCAGAAAAGTAATGCCCAAATTAGTAGGATATAACGTTGGAACTATTAAGATTTAAAAAATAAAATAAAAAATCAATAGTGGATCCTATTTTTTGTGTTTGAGACAGACATTACTTTTTTTTGCCTCTGAGGCAGAAAAATAATGCCAAAAAAAAAAAAAAAAAAAACTATGAGCTTCACATAAATATATCTGGGCATGCATTCTTAAGGATATGCGTGCGTTTACATAATCGGAAGTTTGTTTTTCCATTTAAAATTTGAGTACTGATCTAATCATTGAAATAACTCAGGTAAAGAGGCCCAATGATTGACATGAAGAATTAATTTTTTTGCGGCTGGTTGTGCGTAGCACGCAAAACAAAACCAAAACCAAAGAAATCATGCTTCTAAGGAAGAAATTATTCCCCCCTTGATAATGGATTCCTCTAATATTCCTCTATATATTTGACTTCTAGAACTTTACTTCTGTATCTCCAATAGTTTCATATTAAATGATAATAACTATGAGGAAACTAAAAACTACTTTCTAAGCTCTTGCTTCAGAAACAAGGTGAAGTATACTACTGCTCCAGTTAATGTAGCTGACTTTCAAATATTTTATAGCAGTATTATTATGGTGTTTGTGATTCAGGAAGCAATCAACGAGAGAGAATCTTTAGTAACCATCTCCACTAAGAAAACCAAACACATTACTTAAAAAAAAAAAAAAAAAACTTTTGAAGAGATTAAAAAAAGGGAACCAATCAAATGATTCCCAAGTCAAATACTACAATAGTTCCCTGTTGGGTATAAAATACTTGTTCATTTAACTTTGAATGGATATTAATTGGACTCAGACTTTCCCACTTGAATTCATTTAAGTGAAAATAATGCAGCCAAGATTGTTTGACTTCCAAGTTATATAAAAACGTAAAAGAACTAAGAACATGAAATTCAACAACAACAACAACAAAAAAATTATTCAGATACATTGAAAATTATGTATCTGTGATGGAACTTTGAAAGTACATGTATTTCCAGCACTACAAGCTTCTTACACACATTAAAAGCTTGAAGCATAATATAACCAGGTTCTTAACATCAAAATAGGCAGATTCATTGCATAAATCATCTAAGATCTAAGATTAAATTGAAGCTAGTTTAACATCTCAGTTTAGAGATGTGAGCATAAACTTTAGTGCCTGTTTAGATCTTCTTATTTTTAGATTCTCTTTTACTTATAAGTAAAAGTTAGACCAAACAGGTTACGAGAGATTTTAACATAATTATATATTCTTTAATTAGATCATTTGTCTCAACAAATTAAGATAAATTCTTAATGATACACATATCAATTATATTGAAGCAAGAAATAATTGCTATTTTAAAGAAAATATTTGATTATCCATAATGTTCTGTTTAAGGATTCCAACACTGAAATTGTTCGAAGGCTAGAGTGAATAATTCTGCAGCCAAAGTCTAGCCAGTGTACATTTAAGTTCTAGACTTCATGAAATAACCTAAGATTGTACGATCATTTAGACTTCTTTCCTTGTTTTTTCTTGATAACTTCATCAACATACATTATGCCCTTGCCTTTGTAAACTTCTGGTGGCTTACAATTCCGAACAGTAGAAGCAAACTGGTGCACCCTTTGCTTGTCTATTCCAGTACAGCAAATTACATTGTTTTTGAAGCAGAAAACACGGACAGCAGGAGGCACACTTAGTTCAACCTCATGACTGTATCCTAATTTCAGATACAATAAACGTCCTGCAGCTTCAGCTCTGGCTTTGTACCCAACACCCACAATCTTAAGAAAGCGAAAAAAATTTGCCTCCATCAATTCCAAAGCAAATCAGTTCCCTAAAATTACCAGAGAACAAAAATTATGGAAAAATAAAATCAAACCAATGGGAAGAAAACACAAAAGAGAAAGGTCTCACATCCTATCTTGTATAGAGAATGCCATACCCATTATATCAAAAACATATTGATTTTCATTTGCTAGCAAGCCGATGCAGATAGGAGATCAGGCACAGGTAATGAAATCAAAGCAGACACAATAAGATAAGTAGTATGCATACTAAAAGAGTGGATGTAAATTACCATGAGTTAAAGCAAATGAATTATTGAAATTGCATAACCAAGGCATTTATAATTATAACCACTCTCTATTAAACCCGACTAGTGAAGATGGGGTGAGGGCAATCCATTTACGCAGCCTTAACTTTGCAAAGAGACTGTTTCCCGGATTTAAACCCATGACCTTTCAATCACAAAAGAGCAGCTTTACCATTATTCTAGGCTCGCCCTCTTTTAAGGCATTTATAATTATACAAACAAAAATGTGTGTAAAATATAGCTCCACCTTGTAAAGAACTACTTCAACCCAAAACCTTAAGGTATTAGGTGAGGGCTTTTTTAATGGTTTATATTATTCTCTAACATGCAAGAGCCCTATGGACTTGAAGCGTGGATATTACACTGGCCCAATTTTTTGGTTTACCTCGTGTTTATTTTGATTCCAATAGAAAGTGGGGGGCGGTGAGGATCGAACTCGTGACCTTGTGGTCACTGAGGCTCTGATACCGTGTAAAGAACTTGTTTTCTCTGCTGTTCGGTTCGGTTTTAGTGGATCCAGTTTTCTGGTTGAAACAATTGTTGGTTCATCCTCAGGTATGTGAATGCACACATCTCAGTGTCATCAGGGTTACCATCATCAACATTCAACTGTGATGCCTTTATTATCTGCTCATGTGCATAGTCATCATACCATGGCAATGCATTTTGGCCAGCAAGTGGGACCTGTGCCTTCTTCGTAGCTAAAGTCACTTGCTTCACGAGCTTCTCGGGTGCACAAAGAGCATCTTGTGGCTGCTCGTGATCACGCATCTCAATACACGTGAAATTGAAAATAGCACCATGGCGAGCCAGCATTTGAGCAATAGGGAGGTAACCATCACGGAAACGGGTGTTATAATATCCTGCTGTGAGCTCTGGAGCATGAGACCTAGTACCATAGTGCCAGTGAATACCAGAAACCTTCACTGATATCTTAACACCAGAGTTATCAAAGATTCGCCATGATGGACCATCCCAGCCTCCACCTTCTTTGTGGAAAAATTGTGTGTCTTCTGGCCAGTTGTTATAGTGGCCAGCATCAGTAGGGCCTGTGCTTCCCCATTCTTGCTTACCCTGAGCTTCAGCAGCAGCTTTTAAGCTACTCAATATATACTTGTCAAAGCATTGGAAAGCACCAATTCCTGGGAATTTCCATGTCCCATTTTGCTCTGGGTATGAAGGGTAACGCAGTTCACCAGCTGGTCCCATCCCAACTTGGATTTCCACAATAGTGTCACCAAGAAGGTGTTTCAAATTGTCTCTGAAAGCTCGCATGAAATCAGCATAACATTGAACTGGTGTTCGGCCCTTGAGTACTGGCAAAGTATCACATCCAAGTGATATATATTCATAGTTTCTTCTTCCCCATTGATCAGTATATGCTAGATCGCCACATTGGTGGAAGGACATAACCGCTTGAACCTTGAGGCCATGCCTCTTCGCCATTTCCAACAGCTCAGCGTAACAGCCAAAAATAATTTCCAAAATATAATTTCCCGCCGAGTACCTCTCCACCAGAAATAAAATATAATTTCAAAAAATAATGCTCATTCTGAAGCAGTCAATTCACACTCAAGAAATAAAGCTTGTACACGATGCTGGTACAGAGAATGAAACCATTCAGTGGTATTACTTGAAGAGAGATTCAGATCCTTCACACATGGATGCTAAAAATGCATAGGTGTTATCAGTTTATTGAATCAGACATAAGAACATATGAAAGAAATGCATCCATAATTCCTTCAAATGTTATACTAACAAAACATATGAACACAGACATAAGAAGAACCCACTCTTGAAATGAAAGCAATGCTCTACCTTGAGGGTTTACCCTCTACTCAATCATACACTCACAACAGAGAAACAAAAAAACAAAAAACGAAAAAAGAGAAACCTCACGAAAGAATCAAACACAATTCCGAAAATTTGTCATATACAGACAGACATTCCAAGGGTTTCGTAACACCCACTGGCATTCAAGTTTAACAATTCAAATCAAATACATAATATAATTAACATCAAAATTTAAAATAAAAATAAAAATAAAAATAAGGCACAAAAGAGAGAGAGAATGAAAACAGTACCTCTGATTAGTGAGGAATAAGAGTGAGGTGTAAGATCGGAGAAGCTAAGAGCTGAGAAATCAGAATGCACGGGACGGACACCGCACTTTTCTTATGGATATCGGGTTCGGGTTTTAGAGTTATGGCCTATCAATATATATTGGGCCGTCTCTTTTCGCTTTTTTTTTTGTAACAAAAAAAAAGACTTAGGTCGCGTCCATATTGGACATGTTTCTCCCTTTTTGACTCAGCTCATATAAGGGGTATCTTTTTCTTAGGTCATGCCGTATTTTAGGTGTGAGTCTGAATGAAATATATCTGTTTTTAGTTTTAAAATAGTTATATTTTCGTAAATAATTATTAAAATAATAATATTTAATTTTTTTTTTCCTATCAATTTAAGTGAATAACGAACTTAGCATGCTAAGCGGGTCCAACGTGTTCTCACACATTTTGGCGTATTAGAGGCTTAAAATCTTGAGACAAGAGGCAATCATTAGTAAATTCTTGAAAATAAAAAACAAAATTATAAATAATGTGACATTTTTATAATTATTAATAAAAACAAATAATATAATTAAAAACAAAAGAGAAGAAAAGTAAAATGAGTGCCTTAAATATTTTGATAGAAATAGATAATATCAATAATTTTATTATTATCTGTTTATTTTATTTTTGAAAAATAAGATTAAAGAGTTACGTGTTATTTTATAACTTTCATTCCAAAATATGAAAATAAGATAATTTAAAATTTTCCTTATTAGTAGTATGAACTAATGCATCTCTAGATCCATTTTGACCACTATGGACATGACTAATTTTATGAAAGCAAAGATAGTATGAGTGAATATGTGTGAAACCAAACGAGGCAGCCATAAGATGCTTCGCATGTTGAGCTCCTAACAAGGACATCAGATGACATTCCCTACAACCCAGTTCAGATAATGGAAATGACCACCACATTTGAAATTATAAATGGATAAATCTAGCACAGTAAACCAAAGAAACATGAATAAATCTGCAAGCTGCAGCAGGATATTAAAATTGTATAGTCTGCTTTATACCTTTTCTTAAAAATTTTATGGACCATAACAGTAACACCATATCTTTCCAAAAACAAAGTTAGCATATCACTGACCCCATAAAACTTGTCCTTGGAAACTTTGTACCTCCTTGAAGTTAAACCACACATTCGGAAGTTAAACATCCCAAAGAACTCCAAAAATAAGAAACGAAACTAATCTCATGTAAATTTTCAAAAACAAAAATGTATCATGCAGAGATTTAATGGTCCTAAAATCAATTTCACTAGTCCTCAATCTTCAGTGAACATATCCTAATTCAATGGAGAATGTATGAAATCATAACAAAGGCCCTTATGATGCTTCTATAAAAAGAAAACACAAATTATGAGATGACAACCTATGTATTTCTTGTTTGGAAAATCACATTCTCCCCTGTACTGTTTAGCAAGAACCACTACTTATGTGAGTGCTTTGCCAGCATTATCAACATTTAAAGGTGATTTGCCAAAACTTTGCATTTAAGCATGTTGAATATCAAGACCCGAAAGATTTGTGAGTAATCTGTGTGTTTTAATCACTAATTCACTATTTACGCTTAAGTTGGACAATTGATCAAGAGAGTTGTATGAAAATTAAACTAAATAACAAAGCAATAAAGTAAAATTCGAATTACTTAACAATCAAGAAACATAGTTAGGATTTTGATTACCCCCAATTTTCCCCTTTATGTTCTAAATTAAAACCTTAATTAATCACCCTTTTTATATTGCCCATCAATTCCCCTAAATTAGTTAAAACCCTATCTCTTGGCATTCTAACCCTTTACTCCCTTAAGAGAATCATAATTCCTTGACGTTTCTCAAAAAGATTTAAGCATTAATTACAAGAATAAAAAAAATGGCACAATTCATATGTCTATTCCTAGAGTCGTACAAATTAATGATGAATGAGTCAAACCAAATTCATATACTAACATGTCTATTGTCATATACAAATCCTAATTCAATCTACAAGAATAACTCATAGAAGGCATTAAGCAAAGACACATTCATTCAATAAAAAAAGAAAAAATTACATTAAAGATTAATTGAGAAACATAAAGATTCAATTGGGTTCCATCTAGCCTAACATGGTAGAATCAAGAACACAAGAAAACAAGAAGCTTCCCCAAACTCCATTGAAGTGATGACACGGTGAATCTTTAAGGTTTTCAGCGTAATCCCGTCTTCGGCTCTCAAAAGCATGAAAGGCTCGTTCCTCCAATGAAAACTATGCCTTCGGTGTCAAGCTCTTCAAAAAATTGTTTTTTAATTTTGAAATTTCCTTTTATAGAGGTAGAAACCCTTTCTCTAACTTAAAGCAATGAATTAGGTCTTAATTGTACCGCAATTGGGCTTAAAAATGCACAAACACGCTATTTTGATAGCAAAAATATATTTTCGTATTTTGAGCATAACTTGAGCTATACTCATCCGATTAATGTGATCTTAGTCTCATTGAAAAGATAAAACAGATACCTACAACTTCTATGAAGAGCATGAGATCCAAATACATCATATTGGATAAGAAAAATTGGCCGCAAGGCAGATCTAGGGAGATTTTCACTATATCATTGCTCCTCATTTATCGGTTTAAGTTCTTCTGCTTTAACCATTGCTCCAATGCTTTAATTCAAATAAATTGTCCTACAAAACAAAAAAAATTCATTCACATGAGTCAATAATTTAAACTCCAAGCTTTTTAGCCAAATAACTTTAGTTTTTTATGCTTTTGACTATATATAAGAGTAATTTTAGTCCTTAAAAACATGATAAACTTTGATTATATCAAACATCCAGCTATCTTCATCATTTAATAAATATAATGAGAGGACAAAGGATCTTGTGGCAACATGTAACTCTACATCCGCAATACAACTGGTAAAAAGAAGTCTAGAACCCGTTGACCTATCGGGTATAGCCTTTATCAAGATATTCAAGACTTCGACAGTTTCAATGCTAATGATTCGAACTTGTCTAATGAACTATCCATAATTTTCTTATTGGCTTCTTTGCAAATTTCTTCTCAGAAGAATTTGTCATTACAATCTGGAGGCAGTGACACCTATATTCGACAATGAAAATGATCTTTAACAGCATTATTGTCGAAAATCAACTTGGCCAATGTTGTCTTACCCATGCCTTTATTTCCCACAATTGAAACAACACGACGATGTTCCTCATTCGAGAGTAACTGAGCCGCCAAAATTAATACATTATGACCAATTCCAATGATAGTGGATTCCTTAAGAATAAAAGGTGGTTGCATCTTTGGACGCAATATTTGAACCAAGGAGATGATTCATTTGAGGTTTGAAGTTGAACCAATTTTATGTTTCTCTGGTCAAAATTCATTCTTTGAGAGATCTCTTTGATATTATTGATGATATGCTCCAACTCTTTGCTAACTATGTATTTGTCAAATAGATGCAGAATTATTTTCCTCCTCCTTTTGACTAATTTGATGAGGAAGATCTTTATGGCATCTTGTGCATCAATTGCAATACTTCTTAGCTCCTCTTCCTCATTGAACTTTTCTTTTTCTCTGAGCATTTTATGAAATCCAGGATTAATCTCAACTGCTTTTTCTAACTGTTCAATTTGGCTTACTGCCCTGCTAAACAGTGCCAATTCTTCAACCAAGACTTTTTTTTGGTACAATAAAGGGGCAAGGCCCCAGAAAAAACAAAAAAACAAAAGAAAGAAGAAAACTTAAATGAAAATAAAAGAACTACTCAGGAGCAGCAAGCCAAATCTGGCTGAAAGATCCAATAGCATCAGTTGTTATTAGCTTCTGAAGAGTCTTTTTGCAACGAGTGATAACATAAAGAAAGCTACTCTGTTTGCAACGAGTGATAACAAGTACTTGATATCAACAACCATGCTTACTCTGCTTAAAATAAATCTAGGAATTAGGACAAAGTGTGAACCGAATATTCCTTAAAATCAAAATAACAATAAATAAGGAGAGGAATGCTTGATCTCTTTTCAAAATATGGAACATAGCCCATTATTTGTGCAAACAAAGCACACAACAAGCAACAAATGGCTATACAAATGATATGATTTACATAATGTTTGTAAACTAGGGTGAAACATAAAGAAAATTGTTCTAATTTATAATGGAAGAAGTTATTTGATGTAATTACTTTTGATATAAACATATATGAATTAGTCGCTCCATAAGTAACTAGCATCAGCACTCAGATACAAGTTAAAATATTTTCATTTCCAATTAAAATTTGATTGTTGGGAAGTCTTACCTTTGTATAACAGAGTCTTGTTGAAACTATAACAACACTTCAGCTAGTGCGCTTGCAATAAGTGATAGCAAGTATCTGATCTCAAGGTATTCCAGTAATGTTTACTCTGCTTTAAAATAAATCTAGGAATTAAGACAAAGTGTGAACTGAATATTCCATAAAATCAAAATAACAATAAATAAGAAGAAAAATGCTTGATATCTGTTCAAAACGTTGAACCCAACCCATCATATATGCAAACAAAGCACCCATCAAACAACAAATGGCTATACAAAATGATTTGAATCATATAATGTCCGTAAACTAGCTGAAACATAAAGAAAAATGTTTAACTGAGAACTATTTTCAAGAAAGCTAACAATGTAATTACTTATAATTTAATTTGAAGTGAATCTTGATAAAAAGCTATATAAATAAATCGCTCCATAAGTAACTAACAGTAGCACTCAGATGCAAGTTTTAGCATTTCCATTTACAATTAAAATCTGTTTGCCAAGAAGTCTTACCTTCGTATAACAGAGTTGTGTTGAAATTATAATGGCACTTCAGCTATTCTCTTGTAACAAGTGGTTGCAAATATCAGGTTTGCTTACTTTGCTTGGAGCACTTTAGCTAGTCTCCTTGTATTGAGTGATTGCAAATATCTGATCTCACTTCTTAGGTATGCTTACTCTGTTAATTCACTAAAGAATGGGTGTACTATGGTTTGAAATGTTTTG